AATACTCTTGTATCTATATAACCTAAAGACGACTATGTATCAGAAAACAGTATATGCACAAGTTTATCAATCTGTTTTTTACAATGTGACAGCAACACTTAATTGGCTGTTAGTTGGCTTTAAATGGTATTCTATAGGGCATTTTGCAAATGAGATCTAATAAAGCAGGTTGAAATGGATACAAGGAGTCAGTTAAACCTTGCTCCGCAGTCACCCAGAGGCGCACAGGGAAACCTGATCCTCAAAGATGTGGTGCATTAGTTCTGCTAAGCTAACCGTGAATGCTAATTGCAGGAAGGACAAACTGTAACCCCTGCCCTGTGGCCATGAACCCATTAAACAGCACAGAGGGTTTCATAGACATGGAGAGCGTACAAAGAGGCTGGGGCTGAAAAGGCCTGCAATCGGATTTCGGTTTAAACGGGGATAACAAGTTTTGCAAAGTCCCCCCTGGGATCTGCCCTCGCCTTCTTTTTCTGAGAGTGTAAAGTAGCTCTGACCGCAAATCATCGATACAATGCAACAGGTTTCCGAATGGAATATGTTGCCGCTCAGCAGGGATTGACATGAGTTCTCACAGAGCCTGACAGGTGCTCTCTTCAGTATGTGGATCAGTTAAGTTTGGGTACGTCCCACACCTGGAGGACATTTACAAAGAAGCGGTTCAATATGACACCCTATACGTTGTGGGAAAGGTGTCATCCTGATTAGGAATCATCAAGTGTTGTCTCTGTTTTGTAGGCAACATTAAACACTTAATCAGAACAACACATGGACGGCTCTATTAGTTCAACATTAAGCTTGTTTGGGGCTCAGCAGTTTATTTTTCTGGGCGAGCAAAAGTCATAAACAAGAGTTCCCTTTTCTGAGTGTTTTCACCTTTAATCTCTGTGGCTCTGGTGCCTCCTGGCCATACATTTTCAAACACGACCCCGCTCCACCGACTGCCCCCGACTACTTCTTCATACATACATCCATCAGTTTGACAAGTGGCATGAAAGCTGCTCTTTTTTTCACTTAAACATCCATTTCAGCAATTTACCTTTTGAAGTGAATGTTTACTTGCATGTCTGTCTTTCCGGAAAGGCAAGTATGGAACAGTACGTTAAGATCTAAAGTGTTTATAAGTTGAGCGTAAGCAAACAATAATTCAGCGTATATTACATTAAATTACATTATTTGCCAACCAAGAGGACACAAATGTACAACAGCAAGAAACCTGCAAATAGCTACATTAGCTTCAAATAAAAAAAGTGCTACATACATTTTCTTTTTGTATGGCCAAGCTGCAGATATATCATGCTACTGTGGCAGCTCTTTATATCTCCTTAGATGGGATCTTTCTCTATGGTCAAAATCTGTGACCTAAATGCAGCCTACCATACCGTCATTCATGCACAACATTGGTCAATTCAATCTGATTTCCTAGTCTTATCAGGCCTGATTCTAAAACACCAATGCCACACATTTCTTTGCCAAATGATTAATCTGTAGCACAAAGCCTAGGAGCCCCTAGTAACCTCCAGCCCAAAATCTGTGACCCTCCTGTCGCACCCGGAGATTTTTTGATTTACTATAGCCCCCGCTCCCAGGTGAGCGTCCCCTCCACCAGTGAGCCCTGTGCTGCCTGTGAGGAGATGGATGGCTGCGAGTGTGAAACCTAGCAGTGGGTTACATGGCCTTGAGCTTCAGCGTCTAAATAGGCTCTCTAATGTAACTACAATGCTCTGGAGGAGATGTTGTCTTGCCCTCCAAAGCTCTTTAAAAGCCTCCTCGGGGCAGGGGGAGCTCTGAGTGAGGGGATGTGGCAGGACTCAGCCACGTCCTAAAGAAAGCTCAGGTTTCCAGCTGGGATGCTCTGGAAACGGGACGCTATAGCTACAGGAACAGCAGCTTTATTTAGGACCAGTTTGATGGTTGGTTTTATAGCTTCACATTTGAAGGACAGACACGATGTTGGTAATACTTTTTTCATCCAAATCTCAGCAAGAAATGAAACAAAATACATAATAAATATTTAACTGTTCGCTTAATTGAGTTGAATTTTTAAGAGCTAGCTAACGAGACAAAGCAAGATATGCCAAAGGAGGATGTTCTGTTACATTTCAAACTGGCAACCCAAATTATTTCCTTAATAAATATCTACTAGCATATCTTCATTCACGCCCTATCAGACACTTTTCATTCGACACATTTTTTTGTAACATCATTATCACAAAGATCTGTTGAACTGTTGCCAGCTATGGAAATTATTGGAAGCATGTCCCAACTATCTTTAAAAGTTTTGCAATGAAACAGTTCATTATTGATGATGTATGCTTTTCAAAGTGACTATATAGCTGAATTATTTCTAAAGGAAGAAGAAAGCCCATTATTGATGGTGTCACCGTTTCTTGAAACAGATACAAATACATCATGTGATTTCCTCATTTCTACGCAGCTCATGAAGCTTGATATAATATTGGAAGCCGCTCGGAGAGATAAGGTGTCTTCTTGAAGGTCATCTGTGCCCTCTTGAGTGAACATAAGAGCCTCCTGTGGTCGGGTTAAATGCACATGACAGGCTGTAGGAGCACAATCACCCATTTTAATTGTCATGTAACGGTTTCATGTAGAGCCAAACTGTCTGCAACACTTCAGCGGTTGGAAACCAGAGCCTGGCCACACAACCACAGATGTGGTTAACTGGGCCTTTTACTGGAGGAAAGAAAAACAAATATCTGTGGAGACAGGCTGGGAGGAAGATAAGGAAACAGATGTATCTGCTGCAAGCTGTGAAGTTCCAGGCCTTAATAAATGGTAATGAATAAAAAGGCAGTGGTGGATGAAGAGCTCAAATATTATGTGAAAGTGGCAATAATAATAAAAGTAAAAGGTCAAATTCAGATTCATATATTTCTTTTCTGAATGATAATCGATTATAAAAGGATGCATTTATTTGTAAATAACGTTAATGTTGTAACTGGTAAAGTTGGGTCTAATTGAAATGCCCCTAAATACTGCTGGTTACATTTCATCAGCATTTTTTCTTTGTTTCTTTGCAATAATAATGTCAATTGGTTGAGTAACTAGTAACTTTAGCAATGAAAAATATGTAGTGAACTAAAAGCACATGTTGCTTACTATATATAATAGAAGAAACACAGAAAATACTTGAGTATAAGTGCTTTAAAATGGTACTCAACCAAAGTACTTTGTAAGTTCACTAAGTTACATTCCACCACTGTATGATAAGGAACTTAATTTGTGACTCTTTGCACATAAGGCTAACAAAAAATACAAATTGTTTCATATGCAACTGAGAAATTGACTGCTAAACAACCGTCCTTATGAAACATCTCTAAACAATACAGACAAGAAAAACTGTTTCAAGGACACTCGAACATCATTTTCCAATTTAGCGGAAGCCAAAGATGACAGGAAACAAGGTAATTCGCTGTAGCCCCACCAACAACCCCCCCCCCCCTCCCCCCACCATTCCCCGCCTGCTTCATGCGCAGTAATTATGTCCCAAAATGAATGCCATTTCATATTAAGCTGCAGTCATATTCGAACGTCAAAGATGGACTCATTATCGGCAATCATGGGAATTAGTTACATCATTTAACCAATCCCAACTAATCATTTCCAGGATACCGCAGAAGCAGATAGAGCCATTAGAAAAGATTGGAGCTCTTAAATAGAATAATTGACATCTATATCTTCCCTGCTGCTTTGGCTGAAGGGCTTCAGAAATTGCATTAGTTGCAATTGAAAAATCTGAACTGAGGGAAAAAGACACCACTTAGACTTTAGCAGGGCTCTGCTCAGTGTTCCCTGCTCCCATTCATATAATGCCCCGTACCGCCTTAACAAAGGTCTGCGTCGCATCCCACTGTCACCAGAGTAACAACTCGTAAAACTGCAGCTGCTAAATTCAGGGGTAATAATGAAAAAGGTGTTAGACCACGGAAACACCTAGGCCATTTTTATCTCCAATAAAATGTGTATAATGTTTGTGAGTTACCGGTAAATGTTATTTTTCCCTGTAGATTTATCAAGAAATGACTTAACACGAATATAACTTAAAGATGGCCTTATAACCCTTAATGTACCTCCTGGGGTACTAAACTGATGAAGCAGCATTACAAATAAGTTAAATCTAGAAATGAGCAGAGGTGGGAGAAGTACTCAGATCCTGTACTTGAGTAAAAGTAGAAGTACCAGAGTGTAGGAATACTCTGTGTCAAGTAAGTCCTTTAATCAAATTGTTACAAAAGCTTTTGTAAAAGTACAAAAGTATTAGCATTCAATATACTTAAAGTACCAAAAGTAATATTACACATTATGCAGATTGGTCCATTTCAGAATAATATATATGATATGTTTTGATAATAACTATTGATCATTAAAGCGTTATCAAAGCTGGTAAAGGAGCAGCTAGTTTGAATGACTTTGTATACTGCAGGGTAGATTGTGAATCTACTCCAGGTGTGAGTAAAGTATTATTTAAGTGTTGATTATATTTCACATCATTAATCCAAATCTGTAAAGTCAATAAAGATAGGAAATAATTGTATTGGAGTAAAAGTACATGATTTACCTCAGTTATATTAAAGTAGAAGTAGCTACAAATTAAAATAGTCAAGTAAAGTATCTCAAAAGTGTACTTAAGAGCAGTACTTCAGTAAATCTACTTAGTTACTTTACACCTCTGTAAATGAGCCGTATGCTCATTTCATCTTAGCGTCACCGGTGTTTCTGATGCAGCCGGGTCATCCAGTTTACTGGTTTTCTCCCAGTTTCCCCCAGTGATAAACAGGCTCTGGTCTGAGCCGCGGACCCCTGATGTCTATCAGCACAGGTCAGTGTCCGGGGGCAAGTGGAGCCCTCGGCAAGAGGAGTGGATCATCGCTTTCCCTCAACACATCATCAGGTGCCTCTTCTGCCCCGACACATTCCTGCCATTTCATAGGCTTTCTTTCAAAGGTACATGTGACAAAACATGAAGTTGGCCAGAATTGATATAAACATGTTTTATCATACGGTCAACGTTTAAAAAAAAAAAAAAATGTAATCAGTGTTACAAGATGAAATGTAACTCCATCATCCACTGCACAATAACCAAGCAGAACATGACAAAATAGGAGAATATAAAAATCAGCAAGAGACACAAAGTAGAGTTAGAACAAACAAGAAGTCAAAGAGGGAAATAAAAACTGTTCTTGGAATTGTAATAAATGACAGCGATATATATGGTCATGGTACACTGGATCTTGGTGCATCCCTATTTCGGATGAACAGTGAGAAAGTCATGTGGCTACTGTGGAACACAAGTGGGAGCATTTTTGTACCAATATTACAACAAAATCAAACCTTGGTCTTCAGAAAACATTCTTGAAAACGACAAATGTCCTCGGAGGAGCAAAACATTTGACCAACAATGTGTTACTGTTTGAGTCCAGTATATCCGACCATATAATGCATAAAAACAATCAAAGGTATTATAAAAGTTCCTGGTCAAACATTGATTTAGTTTCACAAAAGTAGTATTTAATACAGGGCTATTGTGGGGGTACAGCAGGGTTCTATATTTACAGCAGCATACACACATACACATACTGGGGGGGGGGGGGGGGAGGATTTCCAAGTTCTCATCTGTCTATCTTTCAACTGTCGGATATTGAAAAGTGGACGGACAGAGATACCGATCGGCATATTGTGCAGCTGGACGTGCCTCCTTGTAAATGCAGCTGCATACAAGATTGGGTGAGTAGCGGACTGCCACAGTGAGGACACGAGGGGTGACGGAGACTCACTTGGGTTTCGTCTCGGCGTCTGTGACTTGGCGGATGAAGATGGTGTTCTCCGGGTGGTTGATGTCTCCCCTCTCGTGCATGTAGGAGGCGGCGATGGCGAGCATGGTGCCGTCGTTGTTGAAGGCCAGCGAGGCGATGCTGGTCGGGTACCTGTGGAACTGACACAGGCGCTTCTTGTTGAACGGGTCCCAGATGTTCACAAAGCCGTCGGAGCCACCTGGAAGAAGGAGAGGCTCAAGGTCAACCTCAAAAAGATTTAGGTCGTGTTGCTGCTGAGATATGGATCTATAATAACCCTGTGTTCCTCATGTAACCTTGGCAGCTCAATGGTAAAGGTCATAGGAAAACCTGAGCTTTATAAAACACAATTTGCACACATACAAAGACAGACTAAATGTAGGAGGAAGCTCATTTTCTCATGTACTAACTAGCCGGTCTTACCTGTGGCAAAGGTGTTATGGATACTGTGAAAGGAAATGGCATTGACAGGGTAGACCTGCTCGATTCCCTCCTCCTTCAGTCTGTGGCATTTGAAGGCATACTTCTTCTTCTGAATCTCCTGGCTTGGGTCCAGGTACTCCACAGCTACACGTCCCTCGATTGAACTCAAGGCGTAGCCCTGGAGCAAAGACAGAAAATATGATGTTACAACCCAACTGCTTTTCATTAACACAGGTATCTATGACAAAGTGTTCTCATAGGAGTAAATCATCTGACAAGCTTAAACAGTATATTTTAGTACAAGTGAGTACTTTCATTCATAAAGTTGACTTTAATTAAAAATGTACCTGTTTGTTGGGGAAGGCCCTGATGCAGCGAGTCTGATACTTGAGACTGGACTCTCTCCTTTGCAGTACGTAGCCCATGTTCCTCAAATCCCACACCAGGACTCGTCTCCCGGCTGTGCCAACGATCAGCCTGTCTCCAGCCACAGACAGGGTATACACCTTTCACAAAGAAAAGAGCCAGGATGAGACAGGAAAGAAACACACCGCCAGAAATTCCCAATGCCTTACTTGACACTAGACAAACACAATGTTACAATTAGTCATAACGAACACTTTCTATAACAAAGACTAAACAAACAAAAATGTGGTTATATGTTATTATACTATACTACTGTGCATCTTTTGCTTTACCTTTTCAGGCTGGGTGAAGGTGCCAGCGTTGCAGGGCGTCCTTGGGTCCCACAGCCTAACTGATCTGTCCCAGCTGCCCGTTACCATGACGTTAACCTCTGGGCAGTATTCCACACAACGAATGGGGGCGTCATGTGTTCCAACTATTGTATCTGTTTAAGGATAATATTAAAGATCAGCAGAAATTAACACATACAGCAAATACATGACAGATGTGAAAATATGTGGAAGGTTTAGACAATACTGCCTGATTAAAACTGTTATTAGTATTTGTCAGGTTTGTTACATACCTTGGTCTGTGTTCAAATCATGAGTTTTTAATTGTGCATCTAAACCTCCACTCCAAGAATGAGTTGGGTCCTGCAAAGGAAAAGGGAATGTTATCTGTGTGTGAAGCAGACTTCTGGGGTTTAACGTGACAATAAAAAGACTGAACAAATATACAAATCTGTGACCTACATAAAAGGCACAGTCAAGAACTGGAGCTGAGTGCTGGTACTTCATCCGCATGGTGTTGCTTCCCACATCGAATAGGCGCACAGTGCCATCCCAGGAGGAAACCAGGAGGAACTGTGTTGCGCTGGGGCTGAACTTGACAGCAGAGATGCTGTCATCTGGTCCCTGGTTTAGCTTGTACTCGTTTGAGCCTGTCATCTGCAAAGATTAAACATATCAGTAAGTCTGAAATTGTAACCGAGTGACACAATAAATGCATAAAAGAGAAATGTACAGTAAATATAACAATCATTCACACCAAAAGAATACAGTTGCAAAAGCACAAGTGTATGTAGATCAATAACATCTCATACTAAAGGCTCAAATATGTCCATAGAGTTGATTAGAAACCTCTTAGTGGCTGAAATACACATGTTTTTAAATAATATACTTCAGGAAAGTAATACTATAATAGCCTGCCTGGCATTACAATCCTAAAAAAGGTATGTTGTCGTTTTATTCCCTGTATATTACTGATTTACTCTGACCAAAAACCACTTGATCCTAACTAAACCACTAACATAGCAAGAAAGTTCAGGAAATTAAACTGTAAAATGTAAGAAAACATTGAAAATACTTCCACATTCATAATGCTAGCTGAACAACCATAACATACAGGTGGGGGTTGTAAAGAGTTTGCTTTCCCAGATATCGATATCGGATGTTAACTTCAGATAGGTATTTAATTGGGTTGTATTCCTTTGTTTTCTTTCTAAACCATGTCCCTTAAAAAGGAACAACAACGTAGATGTTTTGATAGATTTACTGAAGCTAACATCACTGGAGGACAACCGCTCTCCAGCTTGTTGTTAGCCTAGCCCAGTGACAGCGCTTGAGGTTTTAGCTTGCTAGCTAGCCCTACTAAGTACTTCACTTAAAAGTAAAAGCTAAACAATATGGTTTTCTGTTGCAAGGCTGGTGCAAATATGACTTTACGTTGTGTGATCTCGATATAATGTGTTCTTGAGATCGACAACACGACTTGTACCGCTACATGTAGCAATTACACCTAGCCTTCTGCATGGCACTGGTGTCTGCTAATGCTAGCTTGACAACGGTCAAGATAACGTAGGTTAAAGCCTTGATGATGGCATTTTCAGTTTACTTACGGCTTCGGTTTGGTGTGCTCCCGATGCGAATGGTGACTTTCTTTCACCGCGGAATTATTATATCTTGGTTAACAGCAAAATATAGAATATATAACGTGGAAATGCTAAAAAGCAATATGGCTGCGTGAAGCTATATCCTTAACTAGCGGCGCCGATGCCTCAGTGGATGCTGATTGGTTGAGTCGAATGTCCAAGTTCCCGCCTGCGACATGATTGGTTCGTTTAAGCTTAATGTCTATTTCCGTTGTCTCAGCGCAGATCACATGACGCAGGACTGTTTTCTCTCTCTCCTCTTCTCCTCTCTCTGTAAGTACGAGTATCTGTGTGTTTCATTTACGATTGATACAATGCAATATCAGAAAAACAAAATAATGCATTATTAAAAACAAATTGAATCAGCCTACACCGTGATCATCTTAGCCAATTGGCCTACAAACAAGGAAAACCTAACAACGATATAAAAAAGGGATTTTTTTGTATTCAGTCGGCTGTTTCTTATTGTTAGGCCTTTCAGCAATGGTAAACATACCTATGCTGTTTTATACAATTGATTATTTCTATAGCCTTTCTTCCCATTATTTTTTAGGGGAACTTTACTCAAATAGTCCAGCCTTAGAATTACAGTACAAAACATCACAGGTATCTTCTAAACATAAGCAATAGGCTACAATTTACATTTGTGAAGATGACTTTGCTTTTTAATTGTGACAGTACTTGGATCTGACTTGGTCATTTTTTTGATTTTCACTCTTTGTTACCTGGAATTATTTCTGCAGACTATGAATTTAGTATTGCAACTCGTTGGGAAAATGTAATTGTATTTTATCTTAATATAGCGTTTCCTGTAAAATATTTGCACCATTCTTGAAAAAATACGCATCAATACATAAGGCCTATATAGAGATCTGTGTTTATACACTTTAACGTGTAACAATATTCCAGAATAATGGCTCCTCAATTATTTAACTTAAGAATTTCGCAAAATGTCTAAAATCATCAAATTATAATTGGTGGCCATAATGAATAACTGTTAGAATTATCCAATGTTAGTGTTTTATTTTAGAGAGGACGGTCATTTCTGCAGTCCCTCAATGTGCCATAAACGCCTGATCGCCTATAACATTGTGTTTTTAAAGAATCGTAAAGAAAACATCACTCTATCCTCACAAATGTTTGGAAACGAAGAACTTTAGGACACAACTTAATTGAATTATTTCTTCACATGTACATCGCTTTCATATTAAGGATAGATACGTATTTTTTGGAACGAAATCTTTACTTAAGATCATAATATACAGATTTTCAATAACAATATCAGAGAAAAACATACACCAAACAGAGGCTATTTTTGGCTCTTTGCATGGCTTTTAAATTACCGGAAAACATTGCAACATAAAAACAAATCCCCATCAACTGCAGTTTTTTTTAAGGATCACATGATTGTCTTCACTATTACAAAGAGAAAAGGGTTGCTTTTTTTTGTAAAAGTGAACTATAGCCTAGGTGACAAAGGCTGGTAGCCTAATGTGAAGCCAACATTATTGCACAATATAGGAAAATATCAAAATATTAAATTCCACATGTGTTATACAAACACGGACACAAATATCTGTAAAATTGCTATGGACAGTCAACCCTGTTTAAAACAAGTTATTTTTTTCCAAACAAAACCACTTTAGAGCATGTAACAATTTGACCAATAACAATAATATGTTTTGTAATAACATGTTTTGAATGTCCCTCCTGTTAAACCAAATGGAGCCATGGGACGCTTCAGCAGGAAAGGGCTGCCTAATAATAATAATAATAATATTAATAACAATAATAATAATAATATAACATAACATTGTCTTCGTTAAATCTACAAAATGTACAAAATGTGTATTTTTTTCCAATGAAGGTCAATCATTTAAAAACATGTGTACAGCGCATGGTGCACAGTCAGTGTTACACAGGCCTCAGCAGTGGGACGTGGTGGGAATAGTACATGTGGTGGGGGAAAGCCAGCAGTGACTGGCTGCTCGGTGAGTTTGAAGCGAGGCCCCCGGCCGATTCTGGGGCTCCGTTCTCGTGGTAAAGTATGGGAACACGCACAATCCTCTGCGCCGCCGCATGGCTCATGTTGGCCGCCTCCAGCTCCGCGGCCAGCTGCCTTTTCCACTTATTCCTCCGGTTCTGAAACCAGATTTTCACCTGCGTCTCTGTCAGGTGCAGGGACGCAGCCAGGCCGGCCCTCTCCGAGCTGCTCAGGTAGCGCTTGATGTCGAAGGTGGACTCCAGCTGGAAGACCTGACTCCTGGAAAACACCGTGCGCGTCTTCTTCTTTCGACAGTGTTTTTTATCGGAGTCCAGCTCGTCCGTTTTCCTCCTCCAGTCGTCTTCCTGGTCTATTTCTTTCTTTGGCTCTTCAGAGTCACTTTCATCCAGCGCGATATCTTCGTCGGCGCTTTCCTCTTTGGCATCTTGGTCTATTTTTTGGAGATCCGGGGATCGCCTGCAGTCCGGTGCCGGCGAAACTTCTCTCAGGCTGGCCTTCTCAGACCCTAGAGGAAGGAACACAAAGGTATTTAAATGTCTTTACACTTAAACATATCCTGAAAGGCAAAACATGTTTCAAAATGAATTATAGACATTTATTATTGGCCTATTGGGGAAATAAACTATGGGAACTTTGGTTGACAAATTCACATTAAGGGATACAGCCTATACTTCCTTATATTGCATGTGGCTATTTTAAATCATACTATAATATGGCATCCCTTCCTGATATGACGTAATGGGCCTTTTGCTCTAAAATAAATCCAAATTCAGATTTTTCTAAAACATTACATTTCTCTCATCAACAAAGTTAATAGTATTTACCTCCAGTCCTGAGATGAGTCCCGAGTGTGTATGGGTACCACCAGGTAGACGCTCTCTCCAAATACTGCGCTGATAGTCCAATTCTCTGTGTGGGCAACTCAAACCGAGGGAAGGACAAGTCCCCGAGCCGAGAGAAGAAGTTGCCTTCAAAGACTCCTCTGGACGAGCCGAGGAAGCTTTTGGGCTTCGCTGGTTTGTCTTCGATGTTCAGCAGGTTCTTTATGGAGAACGGAGAGTCTTTTGCAGGTTGGCGAGTCTCTTGCGCATCAGAGTCTGCCATCACAGTTTACTGTCCGATGTGGATCACCATCAAAACTTATCTAGGAAAAGAAACGCTTGAAAAAAATGATCTTGTTTTATGTTAAAACTATGCGAGAGAGAAAGAGAGAGAGAGAGAGAGAGAGAGAGAGAGAGAGAGAGAGAGAGAGAGGTGGGAAATCAGCTGATCTGAATGAGAGCTCAGAGATCACTGCGTCAAACTCGCACTGGATTGCAATGATGAAATGTAAAATGCCATCCGACTTAAAACGCGCTCGGTCTCTGCTATTGGGCAGGTACAATAGCGAATGGGATGAATCCGCGAGGGGCTGTGACGAGAATGGACTCCAAAGAAAAAAGGGCCGCGCAAGCGTTTTGGCTTCGAGCTCAACAGTACGCAGCCACTTATCATCCAATTAGAATAAAGAGGAGAACGTCTCGGGGGTTTTGGGGCGTGCACGTGCCACAATCACCTGTTAGTAAATTGAATAAATGGTGAAGGGACTATCACACCTCAACGTGGAGCTGTACACAGTTTGGATTTGGCACAAATATTACGCACATTACGCACAGTTTACGCATTAATGCAAGCCACACAAAAAATGACTTCGACTTAAAAAAGGACATCATATGAATTTCGTTTAGCAAGATATATACATGTAATTATAGAAGATGATTCATGATTGTTTGTAGAATTGTGACATGCTGAAGATCAATGTCATTCATCTGTTATTTGAAACTGATTCGTTCCACCTGTTTGTAACCGGAAAGCAATATACCTGCATTTGTACTGCACCAGATCTCATTGACTTCAATGTAATTATATTTAGTCAGGAAGTGCTACAGGCAGACATCAAATTGAATGCTTACCATTGTGACAAAGGCTTTTCAAATCTGCTTTGTACAAAAGCTTGCAAACCCACAGAGGCAGCAGCAGGTGATGCAATGCATGATGAGGATAAACAAGTGTAATAATGGTCTGAATGTAGCAACATATATTGTATATGTGTAATTAGACCTGATTACATTTGGTCAGATTAGATGATATAACAGAAGATAAAGACACCAATTTAGCTTAAAATGTTCAGCTTTCAAACTGTTTTTCTATGAACAATGCATGTTTTAGACTTCACCAGGCAAGAGGGATTTTAAATGCTGGATTTTTCAACCTTTTCTGACCTCTGGATTGTACTTTAAATGTATTCGGCTTAAAAAACCCTGAAGCAAACACACACAAAAAGTCTGCAAGCACCTGTCTTTGGATATAGATACTTTGTTTATCATTAAGTTAACATTCTGCTCAGACTTATTTGTATAGAACGGCAAAATAAAAATAAGTGAAGATACAAAATTCAAACGAAATACATTTAAGATTCACTATTTAAACCAAACTTGAAGCAGATGCAGAGCACTAATCATAACAATTGAATTTGCTCAACCTACAAACATGCAGCCTGTCCTTTTAGCTCAGGGAGCGCTCTCCAGCTCTGAAGGACAACACTGTGTTTTGTGAAAAGCTACTTGAATCCCTGCATAATTAGAGGTCTCATAGCTGTGTTAAAGATGGGGGCGGAGAAAGAGGCTAGTTGAGCCGCGTTTGGCGATGCAGAGACAAAAGCAGATAGCTGTGTTTTCATCAGATTATGTTCATTAAGCAGGGGCTTGCACAATAGACAGAACAAGTCAGAGTGGATCAGTGGGGGAAACAAGGTCCACTCAATCAATGATTCCAAAAGAACCATGTGTTTCAATTGAGTCATTTTAGTACAATGTTTGGGCAAAACATCTAGTCTGGTTAGTGACATTTTATCCCAAGTCATTTTGAACCTGTCATTACATCTAATTACATCACACATAAAACACTATCAGTGATGACCCATGCCTAAATTATACCTTCATTTCAAATAAAATATCAAATAACTGCTGTTTGATCAGGCATCTCAGTATCAACAATAAATCAGTAAATAAAATGTTATGGTCCCAATACTAAATAGAATACTGTTTGATAATATTTTTGTTTTTTGTGTAAGTGGAATAAAAATCAAAATAAGAGAAAAATAACAAAAATGTTAAACTACTCTTAGAGAATACGTAAAACAGGTCAATGTCTTCATTAATTTTTAACTTGCTTTCTTCTTTTTTTGGGAGCACCAGTGAAAGAGAGAGCTTTGTTATTCCGTTAAAATACATTTTAATAAATGACAATATTTTGGATGTTGAATTGTAACCGTTTATAACTCTTAACCAAATGGGGATCTGAACATCTACATATTTTAGCAACTCTATCACTGCAGCGGGTATTAATCTGACAGTTATTATCCTAATCAATACATATTAGGTACTGCCAGTGATTAATGGATTCCTCATAAGATCTTTTTTTTAATAAGGGGTCATCATGGGTAATGGCTATTACAGGTCTGTTAACATAGACACAGCTTGTCTGTGTTGTGTAAAACAATAAACCTCATTTTACACGGCACATGCAGGCAGTGGAAATGTAATCAGCTGACAAATGATCAGTGAGTCAATTATACAAGGCAGGCTCTTTTCATCTGAAGCACCAGCATAATTAAATTGATATAAAATATCATTAGAGGTGACAGGCTGTTAAATGATGCGGTAATTGACTGTTCTCAGAGAGAAGCCGTCTCAACTCAGAGTGCTGCTGTCCCTCTGGAGAATGCTGCCATCTAGTGACAGAACTATGTATTCATCATAGACTGTATATATAAATTCATCTGCCTCAGTCACACCAGAGAAAGAGGGTTGATTCAGTATAATTCACATTTATTGATATTGCCAAAGTTATTGATAATCGCTCTGTACAGACAATTTCATGATGTAAATGATCTACTAGTTTTACATAACGAGGAACTGTACAGTATTTCTGGAGCATATAAGTGATTGAGAAACAGTTCACCTATTTGAGAGTATCCTGGGAAGACAGACTTTCTAAGTTATTCAGCTCAGTCACAGCCGACCCTCTGAAGGCACTGAAACATTCAAAGAAAATCAAAATCTTTAAAAATGGTCATATTGAAACATATGAATCAGTTATTCTATTCCGACATGATTCATCACCATATCTCAATAAACAGAAGAAGAATATGGACAAGAGGGGGAGGGGTAAAGCTGCAACGATTAGTCAATTAACAGAAAACAAAAGCCAACTATTAGAAAATCAATTAAAGGAAATATTTATGTAAAAATTAGATTTCCTGCTTTTATCAGTTTTATATCATATTTAACTGAATATATTTTGTTTTTGGACTGAAACACCAAGACATTTAAAGACATCAACTTGGACTTAAAGAAATTTGGATGTACTTGTTTCACTATTTTCTGACATTTTATAGACCAAGCGACTAAGCGATTAAGTTAGAAAATAATCGGCAGTTTATTTGATAACAAAGATAACCGTTAGTGGCAGCTCTATCGATATGACATTTTGTATTCCTAGACTTTTGTAAAAGTTTGACAGAAAGAAAATAGAGTAAAATATTATTGCACCAGAGCAACTTTAACCCTAAAGCTGGAGAAATGGAACCAAAACATCAGTAACATCATTAGTGCAAACTACTTAACAAAAGCAAACATATAGAACTGCAACAAAACTCTAGAGAAATTCTAGAAGATCTACAGCAAGGCATCGCCCAGAGTCATTTGAGGAGAAGGTAATAGAGTGTAACACAGCGGAGTGCAATCCCTCGGGCTCCGATGGATGTGTTCAGTGATCATACTCCTTATCAATGAACTTGGCCATAGTGGATAGCTGGATATTTGTTGTGCCCTCATAAATGGTACCTGCACATGGAGGGGAAACAAAGCATTAGGTTGAATTCCAGCAGTACAAAACAAGGTCAATTTTGTCTAATTCCTCTGCAGAAAACATGAACCTGCAGCTTTCCCCATCAGGACACAAAGGGGCTCATTATGCAGCTCAGTCTGTCGGAGCTCCAGCTGGATAACTGGGGAGCCAAAAGGCTGGTGTTGACAGGAAAAGTGACATGTTGCCCTGGCAGGTTCCCTGGCTGTGTGTTGGTATAATGGCACTGTGAGGGGTCAGACTGGGGGAATTCCTGCAGAGTCCGATTACAGCCACTAGCATCAGCCTTTCCCTCCACCCCACTCTGGTCCAATCACAAACAGCTACACCTGGCCTTCCCCCAGCACCTTCAGGAGCTATGTACTTTTCTATATTGCGGCTTAAAGTGCACCTATCATGCTATTTTTAGGCATATATTATGGGTCTCAGATATATACAAATATATAAAAACATGTCTATGATGTGTTTTTCTCAAAATATAAACAGATCATGCATTTTAGACATCCCTCATATCCCTCTATTCCAGCCCTGTTTAGAGAAACGCGGATTTTGGGTCGTTAGCTGATCAGAATTCTACCGGAGAAAAAGTTCAATTCTGCTGTGATAAAAACGCCATCCTGTTCTAAACCACATAAAGGATTATTTCTGTAACAGTATGGAGCTCAATTTGAGTTCCTTTTTTTATTTCCTGCTTTTTAAAACACATTTGCTCTCCAGTATAGGTTAGCTCTGAGTGTTAGCGATGCTTGCTAATGTAAAAAAATACCATATTACGTCCAAAACACGTCAGGCATTGTTTCTGATAGCAACTCTCTGTGGGTCCACCATCCGAAATTACGTAATATCGGCAGCAAATCTGTATCCCTCCTTGTACCCCCGTTTTTAAAAGATGTGGGTACGGAGGAAAAGAGAAAGGGTTTTATTTTCTGACGCTGCGTGAGTTCCCCGACACACCGGGGACACATATTTATGTATAAAAGACATCAAAAAGTGCATTTTGTATGATAGGTCCCCTTTAAGTCACAGTTATCTAAAAGCAGCTCTCATTAAAAAATGTAAAACAAACGTCAATATTTGTTGAGTCATGCTCACCAATTTTACAGTCTCTGTAGTATTTCTCTATGGGGTAGTCCTTGGTGAAGCCTACTCCTCCCATCCATTCGATGCATTTAGATGTTGTCAGGCTTGCAACCTGAGGAAAACAACAAATATTATGACTGATAAAGACAGGAAGAAGTTTCGTGGTGACTGAAATTATATTTTTGCAGGAGTTTCTTTGCCAAGAAAGCAGTACATAGAATAGATATTAAAAAAAACATGCAACTTTTAATTAATGAAACTATAATGAGAGGAATCAAGGTTCAGCAACACATATTGTAATGGATCGGAAAAATTGATATAACAGCAAAGTATTATAACAAGGGGGGGGGAAATCCTTAGAAAAACATAAAATGGATTTAAAAATAAAAATAAAACAGATAACACTGATGACACCAATATTTTCTAGAAATACATTTAAACACGTCCAAAACCCTCAGTGACACCATCATTGTGTTGAGGTGCGGTCACTGGATCAGGTCGTCACCTCTGCAGTGAAGTATTTGGCCATGCAGGCCTCCTTGATGAAAGGTCTCCCGGCTTCCTTCAGACGAGCAGCGTTGTACGTCAGCAGCCGACCGGCTTCAATCTGTGTCGCTACGTGGGCTATTTGGTGCTGCAAGCCCTGCAAAACAAAGAGAACCAGAACAACATTAGAACCCATGACCAAATGTGGATGAATACAAACATGTTGTGTGAAGAGGGAAGACTATTGTGAACCTGGAAGTCAAAAATGCGTTGTCCGAACTGCTTTCTCTGTCGGGTGTACGGAATAGTGTTGTCGAAGCAACCCTGTGCCAGACCAATCATCTGAAACACAGACACAAAATTAACACTCATTGGACACTTGTAATCTTGAATGGAACACATTGAGCCTGTTTTAATTCGATTACTTAAATTAAAAAGGTTTACCTGAGCGGCAATTCCAATCCTGCCCTCATTCAACATTCCAATAGCGTACTTGTATCCATGACCAATCTGTCCCAAAATGTTCTTCTCTGGTACCTGCAACAAAAAAGCAAGGACTTAGTAAAACTCACAGTGTGCATATCTTAATGGAGCAGTAAAAGGTGTTCTGTGGTACCTTGACATTGTCAAAGTTGAGCGGGCAGGTGGAGGATGAACGCAGGCCGAGCTTGTTCTCCTTCTTGCCAATCTCAAGCCCCTCTGTGTCCCGGTCCACGATGAAGCAGGTGATTCCTTTGTATCCCTGTCAAACCAAAAGGGAGTTTTTTCTTCACATTTTGTTGATCATAGCGGCACCATCTCTTTTAGTTAGAGAGGTCTCAGTTTAAATGTGACAATTTCAGTATGATTTGGCTAGTTTGTATTACATGTTAACAATCGCTATCAAGAGCTAAAATGCATTTAAGATATGAGGGAAAATCTGATTTCTTTGCGACGTGAGATGATGAAATAAGGTATATTTAAATTAAGACTTTCCTAGAGAAATACTATCAAATGTTTTATGCTGAAAAAATCGAACAAGAATAAAAAGATGTGTAGTTACTCACAGCAGAGGGGTCTACATTGGCCATGACCAGGAAGACACCGGCATGCTCTGCATTGCTGATCCACATCTTGGAACCATTGATGATGTAATAGTCCTTGTGTTTTTCAGCACGTGTCTTCAGAGAGAAGGCATCACTCCCCGACTCTGCTTCAGAGAGGCAGAAGCTTCCAATCTGTGTGACATGAAACAGGCAGCATAATGAAATTCAGAGAAGCTTAGTGTTATATGCCATACACTGAGAGCCAGTATGTCACAGTCCTCACCATGTCAGTGGACAGTCGGCTGAGGTAATGCTCTTTCTGAGCTGCTGTACCCAGGTTGCTAAACAGTGTGTTGATCAGTGTGTTCTGGATGTCACAGAGCACCGCCACAGAGGGGTCCACCTTCGCCAGCTCCTCGATGACCAGAATGGAAGAGAAGAAGGTGGAGCCAGTGCCGTTGTACTCTGGGTCAATCTCAATGCCCATGAGCTGTAAAAGTAAATTCAACATCAGAGTCAGTGGATAGAAAGAAAACACTGGATTATGCATAATGTGTGTTAATTCACAATTTAACAAATTACATACACCCTGTTCAAAGAGAGACGTCAGCACTTCCTGGTCCATTGCAGAGTTTTCATCCATCTTTGACACAAACGGAGCAATGCGTTCTTGTGCATATTTTTTAACTGTTGAAGAACAAAACACATGTAAAGAATTTCTGTCTCCAGCTGTCAGCATCAGCAGATCCTGTGTCCAGCAGATGTCCAGCTCACCTGCTTCCCTCATCATGCTCTCCTCCTCTGAAAAGGTTTGAAGGGGAGGAAAGGAGACAACCCCCTGGTCTGTGGATGTTTCTGTGGCAGGATGGGTAGACCTGCTCCTCCATCCAGCCTGACATGCACCCCATGGTCGACAGATCTGTCTGCACGACTGAAACCAGGACAGACAACAGTGTTTTAAATGTATATATGTGTACTGAAATTAATGCAAGCTTTGAACAAGAGTGCAACACAGCCATGTCGGCCATTATTCACCAAGAATATGAAGTTGATGAATTATTTCAGTGATACTCGTCTGTGTTTCATGATAGCATTAGCAGTATGCTAACAACATCAACATCGTCATAAGAGCCAGTCGGGTTATGTGACGTAGTTCAAGGATAAGGGATTCATACAGAGGAAAGCATTTTAAAAATCAGTGCCGAAACAAGACAAATGTTATTAACTGGGACAATAGTATTCAGTCTCACCTTTGAGAAAATCCTGACCAGTGGTGCAGCCATGACTTCTTACGAAATTATGTGATGCTGCTTTCAAGTGCCTCATATGACAATCGGACACTCAAATGATATGTTTTATGCGTGGTTGCTAAAACTGTTAAGTAAGTACAGCACAATCAACCAATCATGATGCCCTTTAATAGGTTTAAACAAAAAAATATGGGAGTGCTTTACTGTGTGTGAAAGAAAGGCATGCTAATTTTGAATATATGATTTGTTTTACTGAATTAAAGACCGTGTCATAGCTACAGTGATTACATGAATGGGATGAAATCCGGCTTCGTGGCAACCCGGATAAAACAAAACATTCTAAAAGGTATTTGAGAAGTGTATCACAGACAGTTTTTTATAATATTATCGTCTTTTGTAAAGGTCAATATGTAAACATTTTTTTTACCTACAGTACACGAAGGCAGCAGATGCGTTTCCGGGGACACGGAACACTGACGTATCAGCAAAAACGGAAGCTTTCACCTGTTAACAATCCAGGGCCCACTTTTCCCCTTTGTTTCTGCTGAGCGACAATGTTACTTTGACGCTGAAAGGTTGGATAAGAGCTGCGTGACGGATAGCGTTAGATAATCGTTTTTAATAATTATGAAAAGTACGATAAAGTGTCGAGCTAGCTCAGCTGGGCAATGTTAGCATTGTTGTTGCTATGAGCTAACAATCAACATACGCTGCTAACGTCCTTTCACTTACCTACTGAAGGATATCAGCAGTACAAGTTGCTGAGCTTTACACCATTCCTCTGGGGTAATTCCAGGTTCAACACAGAAGGAGGATGGAAGAGATAAAAACCGAGCCTGTGGATTTTGTTAAGGAATTTCAAGAATACCTGACACAACAAACTCAGCATGTCAACATGATCTCAGGCTCTGTTTGTGGTGAAAAGGAGTCAGGGCAGCCCTTTCAAGCCGGTAGGACTTGAGTACAATTCATTATAAACAGATATCTTTGTTAAAGGTAAAATACTAAAGTAATTGTGTGTCTGGTTTTAGTTGCCCCCAGGAGTGAGCAGAACGGTCTGGATCCTCCCTCGGTGGAGGTGAGCCTACCTGTCGAGGATGGGCCAGAAGTTCAGATAGACGGCCTAGAAAGGACCATCGATGGGAAATACAAGTGTAGCTACTGCAGCTATGCAAACAAAGGCATGGCTCGTTTAATAGAGCACACCCGCATCCACACAGGTCAGTGTTAACATTGCATTCATTCATAAGGGCAACACCATGTCTAAACATCTATCTGCATCACAGATCATTCATGGTGAACACCCTTTTTAGTGAAAAGAACAATGCTGTATAAGGTATGATTGAATCATTAGGTCCCCTGCATAAGTAAAGGATGGAAAATACATTTTAAAACAGCAACATTGTGTGAGTCTGTTCAAGATTTAAAAGCTTTTATTGTCATATGCACATAAGCTACAGTGTAGAAATGGCAATGAAATTCTTCTGACATTACATTTTGTTTTAATAGGCTCTGCTCTTTACTTCCGACAGATTTTGTATTAGTCACTTGTGAGAATATTCACACTTACCCTGTTAACGAAACTTCACCACGATCATCTAACTATTCATTTTTAATGTTTGCATTGACCTCAAATCCTAAATCTTCCCATCACTAATCATCAAGTCCTTTACTGTTCAATCCCTTGTGCTGAACACATAAAACATTGTACTTAGAACCTCATAACTGTTGACTCTTTCACAATAAAGTTTGTTTGATTATAACCATATTATTTTTGCTCTTAATTTCTTCCCTAGGAGAAAAGCCTCATCGCTGCCAGCTGTGCCCGTTTGCTTCAGCGTACGAGCGCCACTTGGAAGCCCACATGCGCTCGCACACAGGAGAGAAGCCGTACAAATGTGACCTCTGCGCCTTCTGCTGTAGCGACCGCAGCAACCTGTCTCACCACCGCCGCCGCCGCCACAAGCTCCTCCCAACGAGGGCCGTCCGCTCTCCGTTCACCAATAAGAGAATGCTGACCTCCCTGCAGAAAAGGACCGGCTCACCGGGCTTCACCAGGCGACTACTCATCAACTTAAACTCTCACTCCATGGCGATGCCAAAATCAGATTATCTGAATAACTTTTCTCACAAAATCCATCACAATTTGAACAGCAGTGAGAACTTGGATGAGAATGACCGTCACAACAGAGGTGCTAATGGTTTCACTTTTACTAACCCACTGGACCAGTTGTCTACACTTGCCGGCCAGTTAGCAGACCTCCATCCTCGTGCATCCCCAGACAGAGAGTCCTTTAAAGACGAGAAGCCCATCATCATTCACCAGATCTCTAGTGAACCTATAGCGATGTGTTCAAATCAAGTGCAGACTTCACCTCCTAAAAATGAATCTCCCACCTCAGGCTGCAGGAGTTACAGTCCTGTTCCCGGCCTGGGCTTTGACAACAGCATGAACACTCTTACTGCGAGTGTTAGCAGCCAGCCGAGCTCACCCCCCCCTGCCCTGACCACATCCGAGCAACTGCTGTTAAATAAATGCGAGCACTGTGATATTCACTTTCAGGATTATATCCTCTACACCATTCACATGGGCTGCCATGGCTACGAGCACCCATTCCAGTGTAACATCTGTGGGCACATGTGCACTGACAAATACAACTTTTCATGCCATTTTGCCCGTGGACAACATAAAAAGTGATTCCTAGCATTAGTTAATAAAGGAGTCTTGAATCCTTATGTATTGTATTGCATCAAGGTGACTGATTTATATTTTCAATTTGTTTTCTTATGTAGAGTTTTACAATTCCCTTTTTGTTTTATACTAACTTTATTGTTGCCTTACTGCAGTTCTACATGGCTTTAAGCTTTTCATATTAGTTTTGAATTAATACATACAACGGGTAAACATACCAACAGTAACATCTTGCAACAGTTTTACAGTAAAACACATATTGAAGCTCACTAAATTGTCTTTTCAACTCATCCTACAATCAGTATTACATTGCATTACATTACATTGCATGTTACTTGTTAGACGCTTTTATCCAAAGCGACTTACATACTCAATACTGTGGGCAATCCCCACAGGAGCAATTTGTGGTGAAGTGTGTTGCCCAGGGACACAACGACATGCTGACTGCAGTGAACCTGTGACCCCCTGATCCGAACACCAACGCACAACCCACTGCACCACACGCCTCCCAGTATAAGTAAGGGCATTGTGACCACTGTCCTTCTGTGCCATTGCAGCTGCTTGTGTTTGATAGATTATGTTGTCTCATTACTCTGCAGTGAATTACCTTACACAGAGGCAGTTATATATGAGACATTTTTTATGAAATACCAAGTGTTTAACATAAAAAATTACGAGCTTCGCCACAGTTTGCCATTCATCAAGGTGCTTTTTTATCTAATTAGTAATTATACACCAAGGTTTTCACCTCAGTTGAACTGGCTAGATATATTCTACTGAAAGAAACTGAACTGAACAAATCATTGTCAAATTTTCTTTTCAAATCACACGTTTGTTTCTGCTTCCTGTTCTGATATTTACACCTCATTTAACAGACTGCAGAAAGTGTCAGCCATATCAGGAAGATAGATTTCAATATCCTTTTCTTTTTTTTGTTACTAATTTATTCCCATAAAACAATTTTATATTTATCTTTTTTATTTAGTTTTTTCTAACACATTTTTAGGACAAATCTAATTTCACTGTAGCTGCTGTGTATAGTAGATGTTAAGACACTGTTGAGGTCTCTGACTCCAAGATATAATGGGACGTCATAATAATTTATATTTTAATGAACAGCTTTTTAATTGTGTGAATCATGGTCTAAAGTTAAGACAGGGTTTGTGATTATCTTTGTATGAAGAGAAAGTAAACATCTGATATCAATGGGTTTTTATCTCTTTAGTCATAAGTATAGCTGTTTACTGACCCCATATTCCAGTGATGTGTAAATTGGTTTTGAAGGGAGATTAATAAAAATATATATATATAACTTGCTCTGAAAATGCATACATTTTCTTTGTTTGACTTAGTACCACAATCACCAGCAAAAGTACATTTAATGAACATGAAATAATTACAGTGTCTTGCATTTACTTGTGTGTTTGAAGCGATTAAATCTGCCTTTGTGAAAATTCAAACAAGTTCAAATCATTTATTTTCATTTATGATTCTCAACAGGATTTCCTTTTTCTCGTGATCAAAAACATCCACTGCTCTTTCCACCACACGTTCCACATCAATGTCCTCTTCTTGGGTGAAAGACGCTTCCTCTAGAAACTGTCTCCGCAGGTTGTGAAGAAACGTTGCTTTAGACTCGTTCAGCTGAGCAGCCAAAGACCTCATGTGCTCAGGGGCGACTTGATTCTCTGGAATTAAGGGGACACAATTATCAAAACAATTTGTGTTAGAGCCAGTATTTTGTTTTTATAAGAAAGGCCACCTAATCATGACGTCTGTAGTCAACCAGAGTATAAAAGACTACAATTCCCAAGGCGCCTGCTCTAAAGTGACAGTGATGGGCAGAAAGACGCCTTCGAGGCACAGTTTTTAACCGTTCAATTACCCTTTAAGTTATCAAGTTATATAAGCCTTAACAAAGAAAGAAAGCAAAAAACAATACCTAAGTTGTTTGTTATTTTATTTGAGTTTTGCCTCTTTGTTTTGACTATTGTAAAGGCCTCTTTTCTTTGTTACATGTGTAAAAGTTTGTTATTTTATTTTGAGCAAACCCATTGCATAATATCATCCAAACCATCGGAGGCCAAGCAACTCAACAACTGTAAGTAACACAAATATAAAGGAAAGACAAACGAGTCAGAAATGTCTGTTTAAGGCGTCTAGTGGCTTGATAGAAAACAAGGAAGGAAGCCACGACAATTTGCTCCAATTGACAGGCTCACACACAACTGACCTCTGGCAGTCCTCATGGCTTCAGATATACGGCGTCGACAGGCCTGGTCAGTCTGATGGACAACACTAGAGGCACACTTCAGGCGGTCTGCCTCCTGCACAGCATGAGACCACAAAAAGAGCTGAACTCTTAAGGCGAATATACTGACAGATGATTATGATTTTAACATTATTCTCATTTCTTTGTCAAACTTTATGATAATAATAATAATAATAATAATAAATGGAATTTATAAAGCGCCTTTCACGGGACTCAAGGTCGCTGTACATGGTGGACAGACAAAACAAAACGGACAATGAGGAGCGAACAAAACAAGAATAAAATAAAGTAAAGGAAGCCAGGGGACCAGGAAAGGACTAGGGTCCGAAGGCCATGGTGAACAGGTGCATTTTTAGTGAGGATTTGAAGATGTCCAGTGAGGCAGCGTTCCGGATCTCAGGAGGAAGTGCATTCCAGAGGGTGGGGGCCGCAACACTGAACGCCCTGTCACCCACAGTACGAAGGCGAGAGCGGGGGATGGAGAGCAGGCCCGTGTCTGAGGACCGCAGACTCCGAGAGGGGGTGTAGGGATGTAGGAGGTCTGTTAAGTACTGGGGGGCGAGGGTATGGAGGGACTTGTACGTGGGGAGGAGTGTTTGATAGTGAATCCGGGACTTGACCGGCAGCCAGTGGAGGTGGATGAGGGTGGGGGTGATATGTTGCCATGGCTTAGTGCGGGTGAGAAGCCTGGCGGCAGAGTTCTGGACATATTGGAGCCTGGCCAGGGTTTTGCTGGGAACCCCGGACAGGACTCCATTGCAGTAGTCCAGACGGGATGTGATGAAGGCGTGTATGAGTGTTTCTGCCACAGAGTCAGAGAGTGAGGGGCGGAGTCTGGCAATGTTTTTGAGATGGTAGAAGGCGGATTTGGTCATGGATTTGATATGCGCCTGGAAAGAGAGGGTGGAGTCCAGGATGACTCCCAGGTTGCGGACTTCAGTGGACGGGGAGATGGAGCAGCCGTCAATGATCATGGTAGGAGAGAAAACGTTTTCTTAAGTCTGTAGATTATGATCTGTAGACCGGGGCATCTCTGAAGCATGAAACAACTTAATTTAAAAGGTTTCTTGCATTTAACAAATAAAGTCCTGCTTTTTGAAACTTGCAACTACTGGCTATTCTGCACCATTTTGATTAATTGTTCAGCCCTTACTGCAACACAAACGCATGTAAAGTGGCATAATTTGCTTTCATTATTACGATGACGTACCTTTTGTTCTGTGTTGTCTTCAGCCGGGCTCAGTGGGTTGCTCAGGGCCGAGGAGATCAACTCCATCACCCTCTGCCTGAGTACAAGCCAGACAGAGAAAGAAATGGCAACAAATTCATACTTATTTATGTTTTTGAAATACAGTAATTGGTGGTAATAACTCTGCCGTCTTACATGTCACATTCGGACAAATCGTCTGTGGTGTTGAGTGAAATGCTGTTAGTCTCCCATGAGTTCTTCTGTGGATTTGGAGACTCCAGGCGCTTCACCATGTCCAATATCACTTCAGTGGGAATGGGTTTAGACCTGCTCTGGTTTCTGCTGATGCAGGACTCCAGATCACACTGCAGATACACCTGGCAGAAACCCAGCGAATCTAAAAAAAAAACAGTCAAATTAGTTTGAATTAGTTGGAAATGGCCTAAATCTTGCAAAACTACCAGTATTGCCCTTTATAACAGTTCATTTAGCTGTCTATGCTGTAGACAGAGAGTGCCTACACTTTCTTGCAAGTTGGTACACTTCATATCTCATGCTTGGATAGTAGAAGTTGTCATCCAGTAGAAAGAGGAGTGGTGCCCGTTCAGCCTGTGAGCGGTCCTCAGCTCCAGGCTGCAGCAGAGGGAGGATGCATTGATCCCATGCTGCCCTGTTGATCTGACAGCTGCTCGGAAGCTCTGCCAAAACTCCAGGTTTCTCCAAGAACTGCTCGATGCACTGCAAAACTGCCTGTCTGTGTAACTTCCATTGAGTGTGCTAAAGAGAGGGAAAGAGTCAATCAATGACATATTTTTAATGCATGCTGGAAATATGAAATTGTATTGTAATGGCACAATACATTATGGACAAAACTAAAACCCAAAGGATGAAAATACCTATCATACTTTTCAGTGACTACATTAGTAAGCGTTTGGTCGATACAATGTCAGAGCCTGAGTTGTCAAACAATCCGAAACCCAAAGTTCCTGTTGAATGTAAAACAAACCAGCACAATGTTGCCTTTTTTCCTCTTTTTCTGTATAATCTATTATCGTACCCTTGAAATCGTTAATAAACTTTGAATGTCGCTGCAATAGTATTCTTGTAATACAAGAATACTGAGATACTACTCTACTAGTTTTGGAAACAGTGTCATTACATGGCACTTTACATGGTTTGTTTGGGGGTTATATGAGATGAGACCAATGAAGCTTATCCATCTTTATTACTTCTTGCAGTTTGACACCGTCTTCCTCCCCTCTGGTCTGAAACGCCTGCTCGGGGATCAGGTCGTCATACGGCACAACGCTGGCTCTCCAGCCGCGCTGTGCAGCGGAGCGGAGGACTCTGCCGGCCAGAGAGGACTTCCCGGCAGCAGGGAGCCCGCAGAGGACACACAGGCAGGCCGGAGTCCGGGACAAACCTCCGGTTTCCTCCGCTGCCATGAGCTACCAGACTGCCGCCTTAAAGTTCATCTTTTTACATGTTGTGGCTATGGGTGGTTGCAGTTGACAGCCAACTTCCGCATCCTTCGACCTCAAAACACTAGTAAACATGTGACTTCCGGCCGAAATCCTTTCAAG